GTCCCCTAACCACCCCCTCCTGGGACCCCCAACCCCTAACCGCCCCCCGGGGCCCCACTTCCTACCCAACCCCCCTGCTGCCAGTCCCCTGACTGCCCTGACCCCTATCCACACCCCCGCCCCCGGACAGGCCCCCCGGCATTCCCATGCTTATCCAAACCCTCCCCTCCCCGTTCCCCGTCCCCTGACCGCCCCCCAGAACCTCTGCCCCATCCAACTGCCCCCTGCTCTCTGTCCCCTGACTGCCCCTCCCAAACCTCCCGCCCCTTATCCAACCCCCCTGCTCCCTTATCATGCCACTCAGAGCAGCATGTCTGGCAGCTGCGCCACCCGGCTGGAGCCAGACACGCTGCTGTGCTGCTCGGCAGGAGTGCACAACCCTGCCGCCCAGAGCGCTGCCTGCGCGGTGGCATGGCTGCAGGAGAGGGAGGACAGCAAGGGAGGGGCCGGAGGCTAGCCTCCCCGGCTGGGAGCTTAAGGGCTGGGCAGGACGGTCCCGCGAGCTGGATGTCGCCCACAGGCTGTAGTTTGCCCACCTCTGTTTTAGAAGGAAATCAGAGGTCATTGGGAAGCAATACTGGGAGCTATAGCTGTTATAGGTAGAGAAAGTTCACTTCCTACACAGCCACAGCAGGAAATCTACTGGTCCTCAGAAATCTACTGCCAGAAGAAACTCTACATGTATGTTCTAAGCATAGGCTAGAGAGCCAGGAATGCCTGGGTTTTAATCTCGGCTTTGACACCAGCTCCTTCTGTAGCTTTGGGCAAGTAAGTCACTTTACCCACTCTGTGCCTCAGTTTCCCCATCTGTAAAACGGGGATGAGACTTGCATCCCTATGTCACAGGAGTGTTTGTGATGGTCTGTTACCTAGCAAGTATTTATACAAATCATTCCGAAGAGGTAAAGCTCTAAGGCCCGGATTCACAAAAGTACTTAGGCACCTAGCGTCCACTGAAATCATTGGTTGTTAGGTGCTTACATATCTTGGGGAATCTGGGCCTAAGTATTGATCATCAGGCTGTGAAGGCCTTCTTGATACTCATGAGTTGCCCCACTGAGCCAATGATAACTTGGTAGCAGCTTACCCGTGGGAGTCATGGGCACACATTCTGGTCTTTAGTGGAATCACCATCATTAGCCACACCACTCACTTTTTACTCAGTCCTTGTGTTAGCTTCAGTGGGAGTTTGCCTGAGTAAAGTCCTCCAGATATGGCCTCATACAAGTACAAGAGCTAATATTGTTCTCTTTGGTGGGTGGGGTTTTGTATCCGGAACCTGGAGAAAAGGCAATGTGGGTCTCTTGACACCATACCTCATGCTTTTCTAGAAACAGCTGGGCTATGTCGATGTGCCCGTTCTGTATCGCATCCATAAAGGGAGTCACTCCGCATTTGTCCCTGCTATCAGGTTCATACGCGCACCTTGGAAAGATCATAAAACACGTGCTTGAGACTGGTGCGCTTGGGCTGCTTTGTGTTGTTGGAGCAGTGCACAGTAGCTGGAGTGTCTCATTATATTTGACCAGAAGGCTTTAGATCTGTACGTGAGGCATTCCAGCTAAAATGATCACCTGCCCCTCTCTCTTTGTCCTATGTTGTATCGTATTGGGTGCTGGCATGTGTCTTTAGAGTGACCTTGAGCTCTTTGGGGCAGGGAGCTGTGTGGCTCAATTCCTGCAGGGTGAATTTCTCCCCCAGGCATAAGAGGGGCAGAAGGTCTATGCGCCACTGACATCACACTTAAAGTCTCCGAATAGAACTTTTATGGGAGATAAGTGGCGCGCAGGCCATGGGCTGGCACAGGGATGAACTGCCCCAAACATGGCGCTACATACATCATTATTGCGAGCCAAATCCCAAGGACCTTACTCAGGCAGAACTCTCACTGGAGTGAATGGGAATTCAACCTGAGTAAAGACTGAGTCAAAACTGAGAATCTGGCCCAATGACAACACAGTGGGTCAAATCCACCCCATGCCAATTGTAAACCAGGGGTTTAGTGGGGCTGGGAGGGGTGTGAAGTCTGATACTGGGGAGGCTGTGGATGGAGATGGCTACAGCCTCCCTTCTTCCAAGTGCAGCTTCAACAGTGGGCAACACTGGTCAGGAAGGAAGTGTGGCCAGAATGATTCAATGCAGCTTCCCAGCAGACTTTCCGCGGCCAGGACCGTATGGAGCCCCAGGCAGAAAATACAGCTACCCCTGGCGGAAAGCAAGAAAGAAGGTGGTGCCCTCATCTCAGGGTGAACCCCTGCATTGTGGAACAGTGGGTCTCACTGGTGCAGACAAATGCAGTAGTTGGGCTCAGTCAAGCCCAGAGGAATTACACTAAGCCCAGATGGTTCTCTCCTTGTCCTAAAGACCC